GTGGGGTCACCTGATTTCAATGGAAACATTAAAGAGAAAATAGCCCCCAAAGTTCAAACTTCTACTTCAATAGCTTGAGAGTCCTTGAAAACTGAAAAATTACATAATTTGTGCCTCTAATAAATGTTTTAAAGTAAATTTACATAGAATGTATTTTTATATGGACATAAAAGGTGTTGAGCGAGTGAAATAAAAATCCATAAATATTGCCTGACTGGCAGAAAAAATGCCTGTATCGTTGATTTAATCATTTTGACGAGTGCCTGATTTCCCCACGATGCCTCACAATTTTGTTTTGAAACTTGAGAACAACTTACCCCCATTCACTTACTGTGTGCTGGTGTTAAAACCAGTAATCAGATATTTCCCAAAATTTACATGCATTCTAGGAAGATGACTGTTGGCTTTCACCCAAAATTTCAACTTTATACCTTTATTCCTTCGTGGTCAGGTAAAACACTTTTTGTATGCCCTTCGTACAATGACGAAAATAGACAAACGTAATATGAAATAATGAAAAAGATGATGATGTAACACTATTATTCTTTAGAAGAGTTAAAAAGACAATAGCAATGCAGTCATCAAATAATTTAGTCGTAACAATAACGTCATTTGATAGACAGTATAATTAAACCTGAACACCCACCACCATCCTTCCCACCCGCCATTCAGAACTTATTTCACTCAAAAGCACACCCGGAGTCTCCACTTTCCGTAGGGCTACACTGTTGTCCACGTGACACCAAACGCAAAAAACGTTTTTAACTCATTCTATGGGTGGGGGACTGAAATTTTACTTTAATGAGATGCACATCGAAAATAATTTAAAAATAAAAGCAAATTAAAAAAAAAACAACCACGAAAAACGGACACACATACATTTTATCAATATTATTATTATTATAAAAAATACGACAGTGAGTGCGGGTCACTATTGTGCAGTACCCTGATTTTAAACGATGGTTACTGTGTCTTGTTGAAGCACACGCTGCAGGCAATGCCAAAGCAAAGTCATGTCACCTGCATCGCTCAAGAGTAATTTAATTCGTGAAACGTCAGTTAATCAAGCACTTGGTCTCACTACAAATGATGGAGATTACAGTAATAATTATTACAACACTTTATCTGATACCCGGTGGTCAGATTTTATCATACAAACGGTCTTTCCCTGAGCGGTATCTGATTCTTCAATAGTCTCAGTGGTGTCTGCGTAGCTGAATTAACTGGCGTTTGGACGCAAAATCACTTGAACACCTGGGCGTCTCTTTTCTGAAATCTGTGTAGGTCAAGCCTATGTTCAAAGTAAACTACAGTGCTGAATCCTATAACAAGTAACACACTGCGTAGCTGCCCTGCCAAGTTACGTCTGAAAACGGTACGTCTTTGAAGATACCTCTGTTGGCATTGCCCAGCATCAATCTGTGCTTGTATTATTTTAAAGAATGAATGATTTAAAATAAACCTATCGGGACATAATTCTCGCCACAGATATGATGATCTGTTTAAACGCATCTACATCTGTTACATATTGGTCTTTTTCTTACATATTTTACTCACACACACACACACACACACACACACACACACACACACAAACACACACACACACACACACACACACACACAGGTAAACACTCCGATCAAAAAGGGTTATTTCTGATATTTGACCAACTGCCTCATACACAATCAATGGGGGCTTTTTTACAACAGAGAAAAAACAAACAGCTCTTTTTTTTATTCCATAAAACGTATATCTCTCTCTCTCTGTCTGTCGGTCTATCTAGCTCTCTGTCTGTCTGTCTATCTGTCTGTCTTCCTCTGTCTCTCTCTCATTCTCTCTCTCTCTCTCTCTCTCTCTCTCTCTCTTCCTCTCTCTCTCTCTCTTCCTCTCTCTCTCTCTCTCTCTCTTCCTCTCCCTCTCTCTCTCTCCCTCTCTCTCTCTCTCTCTCTCTCTCTCTCTCTCTCTCTCCTCTCTCTCTCTCTCTCTCTCTCTCTCTCTCTCTCTCTCTCTCTTACACGCATTGTCATTATCGAAGTATAAATTAAATAGCACACAACTTATAAAAATCTTTTAGTATATATTTGTTTCTCAAACAGTGTATCTATCTAGCGCTAAAACAAATAATTGGACCATTGAACTAAAAGCAATTCAATTTTTTTTTGAATTATAAAATAACGACCATTTCGTTTTTGTCAGATGGAAAGACTAAAAATTAGACCGTACTGGAAAAAAGCATTGTCCTTCCATGTGCTGATAAAGGTATAATGGACTCCTTCAAATCAACAGGTGTTTGTTTATTTATGCTCTGTTAAATGAGTTTTTTTATGTTGTTGTTGGGGGGTTTTTTGTAAGTGTTTTACGGCGCTCGCAATTGCATAAGATCATTTGAGCGCGCGGGACACATTAAACATTTTCAGTCAGTAGGAAATTTTGAATTTTGCCCAGGTGGCGGCGGAAGCCTACTCTTTTCGATTTTAGACTACCAAGAGTTCTTTAACATGCGCAACTTGCACCTCCGAGATTTTTGGAATTTGTCCGATAAGGCTAGGTGAAGATCTTTACTACCAGAAGATCAGGGGTGTGGCTGAAAGACAGCTGTAATAAGGAGTCAAGGTGTGGCAGTAGAAAGACTGTAGAATGAGTCAGGAGCCCTGAGGAAGGGGCAAAGGATGTGAGTGAGTGGGGTCAGAAAGGAAAGACGAAAGCAGACGACGGAATATTGCTAGAGAGCAGGACAAGAGGTGAAAGGAGAAAATTTGAGAGGAGAAATTATTTGTTTTTGTCACTACCCACATTCAAACTCGGGACCTTTGAATGAGAGGCGAACACCTTAGCCTCTAGGTCACGAGTGCCCCATGAAAAAAGCAAGCTACTTTCCCCTAGAAACAATCTAGATCACTCTGGAAATATAATTTGTCGGAATTGCTGGAATTATCCCAACAAAACGACAGACTGGGTGCTCAATCCACCCACCCAATATATTCCCCCCAATCATTGAACGAAAACAGTGCTCACGTTGTGTGTGTCAGCTAGAAATGTAAATGTGTCACGACGCGGTGGAATGGGGCACTTGAAGGAGGTCAGGGTCGCCTTGTTGAAGAGATCAAATTAAGGAGGGAAAAGGCCGCCAAAGTTTGGTAACTTCCATAGACTGAGAGTCCTTGAAAACTGAATATTTACATTGTTTGTGCCTTTAACCAATGTTTATCAGTAAAATGCACACAAAAATGTGTTTTTAAAAGGATATAAAAGGTGTTGGGCCAAAAAATAAAAAAGAGAATTAGAAGAAAAAAATAGCCCAAGAGCCAACAAAGAAGTGCCGATTTCTTTGATTTCATTATTTTGACGAGCGCCTGGTTTCACCACGATGCCTCACAAATTACCTGTTGGCTATTTCTATAATTATTATTTAAGCAAAGGATACGTCCTCGATAGCATCGATGGTTAAATTGATAATGATACATGCATGATTGTATTTCCAAGGAGTAACAGAGCAAAGGAATTACTGCCTGTAAAAGATTTTTGGGAGGATAGTATGATTGGGTGATACATCCTGATAATCTTTATACTAATCAATTGCTTGCTGAATCCTTTAGCTCATGTTCTCGTTTCTTCCTTAATTGTCTAGGTTCTGGATGGGGCAGAAGTGTGTATGTATGTGTGTGGAAGGGAGAGGGGGCGAAAAAAAAGGGGGGGGGGATAGAGTGTCCAAATGGTGCAATCTACATTTAACCAGTGCATTAGTCGATGTGAATGTAGGACAAGTTAGTCAGTCAGCGATTTCAACTATGCTAACAATTTGATATCCGTTACAAATATCCTGTTCGTCTCACCCTTAGTTTATCGACTTTTGCTCATGACGAAGAGGTTGTTACAGTTTTGATTTGACATACATAAAACTAGCTATAAAAATGATATGTAAATAATGTGGTAGGGAATTAGGAGCTGTCAGTTTCTCTTAATGTGTTTTCTTTTCAGTGTTACATCTCGATATATATCTACATCAGTGATTGGCGATCTGTTTTAAAGCAAACGCCTACTTTTGGCCCCTTTTGGAGGCTGAAATTTTTGTACTGCCCACCTACAGGTATTTCCAAACTGAGCATCAAATAATACCATCCAGTACCTGAAGATCCCGGCCGCCCACCAAAATTACTAAATTGTCCACTAGAGGGCGATATCGCCCAGGTTAGCTAGCACTGATAACACCATAAGAATCACCGTGAAAGATTAGGTTATGCGATATTGAAATCGTCAGCCTTCATTTGATGTGATGGTCTTGCTGTAAGGCATTAAGCTATAAGGATTTAATTAGATTAAAGATAGTTGCATAATATTAGATAATAGCTGGGGGGAGGGGGGGGGGTTGCCTCAATTTGTCTCATCCTTTGTATACCGACCTTAGTTCATGACAATGAGACTGTTATCAAGATAGAATTGTTTTGATTTGAGAAACGGGAAACTAGCTACTGAATGATAATAAAATAACATGTAGCCTTTTTCTTTTACATTTCGGATTTTTTTTTGGGACATACCTTGACCCACGCTCTAAGTAAACGGTTGTGTCTGATATCTTTGTTTGTATCTTATATAAAACACTTAACCTTACCGATGTCTGCAGTGAAACGATTAGGCGATTCGCTGTCGCACACAGGTGACCCTAGTTCGATTCTCAAGTGCCGAACATTTTTACGCAGCATATCGATCTTTCTGCCTGAATGCTGTATCCCTCTCAGCAAGGGTTTGCTTTGACAGATAGGATAGAAGTCTCCTCCTAAATGAACCAAATTATGGCGATAGGGGCATCCCTTTAAAAAAAACTATTATGTTATGTCATAGGTAATTTATTTTAAAATAATGCATTGTTATTTGCACTGATTCACACAGTCTTTTTTCTCTTTCTTCGACCAAAAGATCCTACGTGTGTGTTATTTTATGAAAATATCAACAATACTTTTTTTGCAACAGCGTCTGGAGGTGTTGAGTCACAAGTGAGAAAATGTGCAGCTGGAAGTGCCTTGCAGTTTTTCTCTTCATTCATGTTGCAAGGGCTGAGTTAGCAAAGGACAATGGTGAGTAACATACTTGATCTAGCAGTTCCCCTTTCTAATAGAATATAAAGAATGTATTACATGAGTTGTGTTGGGAGATCATTATTTATCCTACAAGTAAAATTGCAAAGCTGTTATCGCAAGGTCATAATACTACGCTCGTCTCCACAAAGAGAAACGTGCTGCAGCGTGGTAGAAACGTATACGCACACGTCAGCACACACACACACACACACACACACACACACACACACACACACACACACACACACACACACACACATTCACATGTACACACAAACACACTCACAAGCACGCACACACACATATACGCACACGCATACTCACACACACACACGCACACACACACACGCACACACACACACACACACGTACACACTCTCATGCACTCACACACACAAGCATGAACAAACACAGACACATACAGACCCCCCCCCTCCTCCGCCCTAACACCCCAGCCGACTAGTTTGTGCTGAAGGTCTGGACCATGAGTTGTGTAACATTTTTCACTCGTGGGCTACATTCGAACATTGGAGCAGCAGTTAAGGCTAACCATTGTCAAAATAAGTAATACTTACTGCCCATTTACAGGGGAACTCTAACACCACAGGATGGAATGAAATAAACATGTACCAAAAAAAACCCAACTACAGATATGTTTTAAGAAAAGAAAATAAGACAGAGAGAGAGAGCGATGTTTTCAGACAGGAGCAAATAACTAAAAAAGTATAACACAGTAACTTCTAGAACGCAGAAACATGAACAATGATTCTTGATCAACCATAATGCTCTATTGCAGGCCGAATGCACACCTCAAATGCAACGATATCTGGATACACGGACGTGATGAACAAGTTTCCTCCGAAACTAAAAACAGCTTTAGAACAAGTAGCCCTGATTAATCCTGGACTGAGGGAAAACATTGACAATATGTTGTCTTTTGACCCATCGAAGGTACAGTGTGATTAAGAGTAATTGTTTTCGAAATTAAAATGCCTTTTATGTATTTCTTTTTCCAATTACAGAGATATCGTTTTTTCTTTCTCAGTTCGGTGATTTGAATCGTTGACCAAAATCAAAACTTAAAGTGGAGCTCATTATCGTAGCGAGCGTATTATTTAAGATAACTTAATACCAAAGTCAAAGGCACCTGAGTCTTTTTCGATTGGTAAATTCATATTATGGGAATTCCAGATCGACCTTTAGCAAATAACTTTAGGACATTCTTTGTGATGGAAATTCTCACGACAAGAGACGCATTGAATAAACGTAATTCATCTTCTCCTCGATTAAAGGAGTATCGAAAGGACATGTGCAATTTAAAACATGTTTTGTGGGACTCATTTAAAGAGACAATAATGTCATGAACATCTGTCCTACTGCTTTGAACCTTTCCCAAGATCTTTGTTAGTCAACCATCTTGACATAGTAATTTTATGTTCTAACACACGAAAATAATGATGGCTCACTTCTTTCAGGAACAGTGCCCTCACGTTTTAAGCATGCAATTGTAACACCTCTACTTAACAAGTAGTCTTTATCCCCTGATGAGTTTACTGAGACAGGTGGGTCTCCAACTAAATACTAAGTCTATATTCTGAAATCTTAGAAAACGCTATACAATTTTAGATAAAAGCACCTCTTGGAGAAATTAAATTTGGAACTCAGAACCTGTTTTAATTGGGATGCGAACACAGTACACCTAGACTATGAGAATCCCCTTGGATTGGAAATAAAAACATCCTTTTTCGCTGATAAAACAAAAAACATCTAGGCGTTTATTTTGATTGTAAACTATCAATGCATTGTATTATGAACCATCTATGTGAAGTCATTTATTTTTAACTGCGCAGAATAGGACAAATATTAACATATCTTAGTGTTGATTTCATCTTTAAACTATCATTCAGCCCCGGGGCTGAATGTCTTTAGAGCATTCCCAAAGGGGGGATATTAACTTGTTCTTATGCACAGTAGAATGTAATTGTAAATGGGCTGATTCATCGATGCCATGCCAATAACTGTGCCTGAACTGCAACAGGGAACTCCTGCTTTTTATTTCCTAACCCTTACTATAGTCATTTTTCCTCTTCTTCTTTTGTATGTTTGTCACACTCTTGTGACCCACTATTTCCGAGGTGCCTTGATAGTCGAAGCAGACTTTGTGCTGTTGAAGCTAAAGAGTTGAGCAAAGTCTGATTCCCTGTTGTTAGGACTTCTCTGTTAATATCCACCCCTCGGTGCTCATATAACCTTGTGAAGTTGTGAGCGCCATAAAACCTCTACTAAAACATAAAACAAACTATCATTACCCTATCTGATGGGTGCTCTTCATGTCTTTCCTGAAAAGGTGACAGTGTTGTACAAAGAAACTAGACTATTAATTTCGAAATTTATTTCCCTTGCCACTAGGAGTATTATAATATCCTTAAAGACCGTGACAATGACTTTAAAGGTGGAATTTATGTGTGCCATATAATGTAGAAAAGACAATACTTTGAACGTGTTTTTTTAGCTAGGAAATTTCAGTGGGCAAGACTATCTTGCAGTGACTATACAAGAAAACGTTGCGTCCTTTATAGTCTTCTTAGTAATCATCAGCCATTTTAGCATCATTGGCAATACACCATACATACCCTTATCTATCAAAACCAAAATTTGAGCTCAAATTATGAAAGTTACTCTCATGGGCTAAAGAGGCCCCAGAGATTGTAGAGTTTCAAATGGTTAAGAAATTTTAACACGACCGAATCGTACATTCATGACAACATTACTACCAGTAAAAATACATTTGTGCAATCAATACTTCTTGATACAACCCCCCCCCCCCCCCCCCGCAAAACAAAAAACAAATATTTTGTTTTAATTAAAAAATCGCGAGGAGCCCTCAAAGCCTTTAGTCGAGTGTAAAAATTGAAACTGTTCTACCTTGCTTGGTACCGTAAAATGATAACTTTGACTGTGCAATGTTAAATTTGAAACTTGTGTAAAAAGAAGGATATCCGACATTTAGGTCAATTTTCTGTTCTTAAAATATAGAAGAATCATTTTGCCACTCCTATCCAATTATAGATAATCGTTTGTCCGTTTTGTATCAATTAAGAGAACATGTTGGACAATCAACGTGTGCGTATTAACGTCTATTGAAAGTTTAGAGAGCATTTATATCTAATATCACAGCTGTTGTTTCTGTGAAACACGTAGACAAAATGAGTTACTTCTCAGGTTTTAGTTCTACGGACAAGGATAGATACGTTACCTTCAAAAGTTGAATTTGTAGATTGTAGATTTTTGGGCTATGAAACTGTAAACGACAGGTTAAACATCAAGAAATCTAGTTTAAAATCTACAAATTTGACATCTGTTTCGATTTTCGGCCGATGTCTCCATATCCCAAATTTGCGAAATGCGAGAAGAAACTCATTATTTAGTAAGCACTCCTCTCATAATTTATTCACAGATACCCCAGCGTTACAAAACCGCGACTGGAATATCCACGATACTTAACCAACTCCAGAAGGGAGGCCTGCCCGACCTGTCGGAGCTACTAGAACCTCTGAAAGACTCAGAGATTCTTACTGAAGACCAAATTACCTCACTGAAGCAAGTCAGCGCGAAGCAAACATCGGAAAAGATACAGGTGTCTGAGGATCGGATATATGCAATCTTAGAGCACCTCCTGCCCCCCCCCCCTCCCCCCCCCCCCCCACACACACACATCTTTTTTTTTCCTGCTCCCTTTCCGAAGAAGACTGTTAAAGAAAGATTTTTTTTTTTTTAAAGAACCAACATAATTAAACGTTCAGTGCCAATGCATTATTAATACGAACGTCATTATTAATCCTGTTTCAGTTTGTCATCTTCGACATTATCACCATTGTTATTATTATCATCATCATCCCTTATCATCATTATCATCACCCTTATCACCATCGTTATCAACAGACGGAACAGCAGCAAAGAGAGGAGCAGGAGCAGGAGCAGCAGCAACTGCAATATCATTATCATTCACATCGTCACTATCATCATGATCAGCAGCAGCAGAAGTAATATAAGCAGCTGCAGCAATAGCGACGTCCTTGCCATCATCATTATCATCATCGTCACTATCATTAGCAGAAGCAGCAGCAGCAGCATTCAACTTGTATATCACTCCTTTTTTCTGCCTGCTTTCAGGAAAAAGGGACAGAGAATTGCCTTCTGGACTTGTTTTTAATGGTCAGCAGTCTGAACGTTAATAATGACACTTGGGCTCTAGAAAGTAAGTAAACGTCCCTTTTTTTAATTTTCTCAAGTAATGGAGCCCTTTTTTGTTGTAGTTAAAATGTTCTTTTACTGTTCCTAGAATATAATATTCTTTTTACACACGCAGTAATTCAATTTTAAACAATTTATCGGTTCCCATTAGGAAAATCGAGAAAATATTGATTCACGAAAAAAAAGTACTCATCCTAATTCCGAAATATTTTATTTTTCGTATACTTTGACCTGAAGTTATTGCAGTGTTGGCTGTTGTTAAATATCCGAGGAACACCCTTTTTCATTCAAATCGGTGCATGTTACTGTCTTATCCTTGTATTTTGTGCAATAGTGGCTCCGTCTCAAGAATCTTGAAAACAAAACAATTGTCAAATCTGCCAGAGTTTATTGCCCAGGTTACAGAACTTCCCAACAGTCTGGGCTTATTGTTTATTACCAGTTGACGTTGTGGTCTTTTCAAAAGTAACCGCAAATCATCAGCAATAAATGTGTGTATTGTTTTGGGTCAGGAACATACTTTGACAATGAATGGAGAGAAAAATAACTTTTTGAGAGAAAAAATACACCAATCAATGTTTTGCAAAATATGTATCCATTACATTTCGTATTGCTCTTTCCGGGCAACGTTTCCAGGTTGTACTGTTACTTGAATTCGTAGACGTTCCCTTGACTTGCTCACGTCCATAACATCTTATTAGGAATCACACTGGACTACAACGAATACGTCCGAAGTTCGAATCTCGCAACAAGGGTTCTTAGATATTGACTGATTAGGGAATTCCCGTGGGTCCCTAACCATTTTGCTAAAGGATTACATAATCTTGTAATTTTTGTTCGTTAGACCTAAGCCTAGTATATCTACTCTAGTTGTCCATACAAGTCTTCTTTTGTTTGTTTTTGAAAGGGTGCTGTCTTGCTTTCTTCGTACAAGTGTCAGTCCACACCCGTGATATCTTAGACTAGAGTGGAGGAAAAGTTTGCTCTAAAAAAGAAATATCACATTTCAGACCTGAAATCTTAGAATCCATATCTTTTGAATATTACCGGAGCCTGTACAATTATGTTCATAGCCTCTATAGTTGCAAAGTTTCCTGAATAATAATCCAGAGTTTACTTGTGTTCTGAAAGCCTTTTTCTTCCAAAGACTCCACACTGTTTGAGTAACCTTTCTCCATTTGTTTCTAAACTCGCACAAAAAAGTCAAGGAACAAAAATTCAAAGAAAGATAACTGAAGAACAGTTTAGCCGAATTTATTCTTTTTTTTCACAAGAGATGCTTTCGACTGTCTAGATTAAATGTGTAACATTTCAGATTTCAACAACAACGATAAGTTCATGTAAAATGAGGTTAAGTCACACTGGTTTGATTAAAAAAAATCTGAACAGCCATAGTTCTTCATGAACATTGTCAATAGTGGATGTATCCACCCCGTTTGATCAAACACTCGGCACAGCGTCGACGCATGGACAGGACAAGCCTTCGGAGAACTTGTTGGGGTAGGTTCTACACTCCTGGACGAGGTATCCCAAGAGTTGTTGAAAGTTTTGTGCACGAGGGTGGTTGTCCCTTATCCACCGGTCAATGTGATCCTAAATGTTTTCTATTGGGTTCAAATCCGGACTACAAGCTGGTCAATCCATGCAGGTGACAGCTCGCTGCTGCAGGAAGTCCCCCACGATGTGTGCGCGATGTGGCACGGCGTTGTCATCCAGCAGTACAACCTGGGATCTAATCTGCTGCAGGAGAGGAACAGGAAGGGGACGCAAGATTTCCTCCCTGTACCTTGCCAAGGTCAAATTGCCCTGTATATGGTACAGGGGGTCCTGTGGTGAGCTGAGAAGCCTCCCTACACCAGAACGGACCCTCCACCGTAGGGTGCCACCTGCTGGATGCACTCAGGGTGGAACAGCTCTCCTCAGCGCCTCCAGACGTGGGCTAGCCTGTCTGGGTGCAGCAGGTTGAATCTGGATTCGTTTGATAAAACCACCTGTTCCCACTGACGTCGTGTCCACTGTGAATGGCGAGCAGGCCACGCCCGGCGAGCTGCTTTGTGGGGCGGCGTGTGCCTTGGGCGCCTGGTAAGAACACGAAAAGCGAACCTGGCTCTACGGATACGGTTCCTTACCGTCTCCTCGCTCTCGTGGACATTGGCTGTCGCCCGTAGTTGGTCCTTGATGCCGTTTGCAGTGGTGGTTCGTGACGTCACGGCCTTTTTGACGATGAACCGGTCGAAGCTGTTGTCATGTTGGTCAAACTGGGCGGTTCTGGTTGAGGCCTGTCCTGGACAGCCTCTATATGACTGATGGAGACACCGTAAGTCGATGTACAACAACTGGGAACGTAGAGCCATCTTGGAGCCAGGTAAGGGCTCGTCCTCTATCGACGTCAGGCAGCGAGTTTTGTTGGACCGTCGTGTTGTAATGAAACATGGATGAAAAACGCTGGCTTATAAAGGGTTGTAAGTGAGCAATATTCACAGCTAAGACATCTCTTTAGCACGTGCCAAGCTTAGTTTTAGCTAACAGTCCCTATGTCAATGATGCTAAGTCGGAGAAATTTAGCCCATTTGTCATGCTTTTCGGCTGTGTTTCAGAATGCCCTGCGCCGTCGCTATGAAGCTGGTGCTGGCAAATTTGCAGTACATGCAAACTGTATCTAGACGTCAGTGCGTGTGCCAAGTTTAGTTGACTGATCTTAAAGGGTTTGTGAGATATTGAAGTTTGAATTTGACAGGAAAAAACAAACTGTTCCTTGACTTTTTGTGCGAGTTTATATAATGCTCACAATAAGAGTGTGAAATAGAGGATGTTTGTGAGAGTGTGGTGAGTATTAGTTTGCGTTCGCAATTGTGCCTGTGTGTGTGTGGGGGGGGGGGGGGTGATTGCGTCAGTGTATTGCGTGTGTGTGTGTTTGTGTGTGTGTGTGTGTGTGTGTGTGTTTGTGTGTGTGTGTGTGTTACAACACCAAACCAGTGTGTAATAATGACTCTTATCTTTTCACAATATATCTTATCTATCTCATCTCATCTCTTCTCATCTTACATAATGTCTGCAGTGCTGGATGCAAGCGCCAAGCCTGGACCTTCCATCCTGAAAGGCAACTCCAAATTCATGGGCAACTACCAGCAATGTGCAAAGATCAGACGCAAGGATCCTACCTGGATTCTCTCAGATATACGCGGCACCATGTGCAGGGCATACATAAAGTTTAAACTTGGACCTCTGTTCTTCGTACGTTATTTTTTGTATTTCTTGTTTCACTTGAATAATACATTTAAAATGTATTAATGTGATGTAGATTGTGTTGGCGGATAGAAAATGAGAGCAGTTGGAACATAATATATAGGACGCAGAAATATCAGAGGCTGGAGGGAAAATAAGGCACACGAAACTGGACAATATTGCAATGATGATGATGATAAGGATGATGGTGATGGTGGTATTTTTATCACTTTCCGGAAGAAACCCATAAGCGCGAAACGTGGAACATATCTTATAATGCCGTAAAACTTGAAGTGATTTTTAAGTCTCCCTCAACTTTCTTGTTTTTACTTATCATACTTACAACATTGATGATGATGACAATAATGACAATGATGACGACGATGACGATGATGACGATGATGATGATGATCATCATCATCATCATCATTATCATAATCATCATCATTGTAGATAGCAGGGAATAAAAAAAGGGTTGAGACTTAGTTGATTTTTCAAATTTAATACAGGTTCAACGTTTCGCCCTGTAAAGGGCTTCGTCAGGAACACGATACAAAAAAATAATTATAAATCTAATGACTACAAGCTATAGCAACAAAAGTGCGCTCATACACGTCATAATGTCAAAAGGTGCGATAAAAACAAATTGGAAAGACCAGAGAAAATTGAAGGCTAAGGCAAGAAGTGGTATGGATATAAAATAGTATGTACGTCAAATCATATAATATTAATATTAATATTAATGTAAAGGTAATTAATGGTAGTAGTAGTAGCAGCAGCAGCAGCAGCAGCAGCAGCAGCAGCAGCAGCAGCAGCAGCAGCAGCAGCAGCAGCAGCAGTAGTAGTAGTAGTAGTAGTAGTAGTAGTAGTAGTAGTAGTAGTAGCAGTAGTAGTGGAAGTCGCAGTAGTAATAGTAGTAGTGGTAGTAGAAGTGGCAGTAGTAGTAGTAGTAGTAGTAGTAGTAGTAGTAGTAGTAGTAGTAGTAGTAGTAGTAGTAGTAGTAGTAGTAGTAGTAGTAGTAGTAGTAGTAGTAGTAGTAGTAGTAGTAGTTGTAGTAGTAATAGTAGTAGTCAGGGGCGAAGTGTCTATATAATCAAATAATCACTGCTTCCCTTCCTAATTTTGAAACATTGTCGCTGTCAAATTCATCCATAAACGTAAACCTCTTAAATTAAATGTCAAAAGACGTTCGTAATCAACAATGAACAGTATGCCTAACATTCAAAACGGTTTCACGGCCACAGAAATAGCCTCCTCACCCCTCTCGGGCCACTCCATAAGCAGTCGCAAGCTTTGATTAAGTAAGCTTAAAGTGAGGCTAGAAGAGTCCACCAATATAGTTGAAGGGAACATGTGCATAGCAGTCTAAGCTGTTTCATTGCCACCTATACCCTGTTCACCCCTTTGGGGTCACAATTAAAATCAATCTCAACCCCTGATTATGTAAGCTAACTAACACTGGTCGAGTCTACCTCACAAATGTGAGGGGAACTAACTCCTAACAATCTCTTCACTTGCTTTTTTTCCTCGACTTTTTACCGTCCTATAATCAGATCGTGACCTCGATTATGACACCAGCTCCTGGCCGCGGAAGGCTAACAAAAACAGCCAAATGTAAAATTTTAAAAATGATAATTGTCATGTTCTACCAAAGAGTTAGACTCACTGGTAGATCTATAACATATAGATCTAGTACTGACGTCTCTGCTTCTTTGCTTTGTGTTTATGTATTCACATCTAAAGTTAAATTTAATTTTAGTTGGAACTGATATTTAATAAGATACTTTCCCGATTATTTTGGCGGTTGAACATACAAAATGAATTCCGGATTTGTTTTCATTCACAACTCAGAGTCGCCGCCTCGAGTAAGATTCTTGTGTCATATCTACAGGCCATATCTGGCCCCGTTTCACTTTGATTACCCTATCAAACAAGTCAGCCTTCGCCCCTGGTAGTAGTAGTAGTAGTAGTAGTAGTAGTAGTAGTAGTAGTAGTAGTAGTAGTATGAAGAAGAAGTTGTAGTAGTAGTGGCATATATAATCTACATAAGGAAAGGAATTTGTAAAACTTTAAATTCCACACAGGTAGGAAACTTATGTCCTCTCGAAACGAGCTCAAAGGCAAGGTAGAAAAGTAAAAGTTAAATCATCCGTATTTCGTTCATCCCACTGTAAAGACCAATCTTCACCGTAACTGTCCACATTGGACAAAGATGGACAAATAATCATAAATATCACAGTAACTATGGTAGAAATAGTTGTACAGTAACATAGTCTTTAAAAATAGTGTGATTAGTACCCTTTGTGATAAATTTTAGGTCCCTGAAATGTGGCTCGTCGATGAGGACCACTGAGGATTTGGTGAGAACCCAATTTCCGAATCCGCATTGATTCTCTTTGATTTTAGTTTTTCTTTTGTAGGATTACGAACTATTTCAATGCCCTGAAGCTGCAGGTCGGAGGCTCACCATCATCATCATCATCATCATCATCCTCATCATCATCAGCATAATCAGCATCACCATCATCATTATCATCATGAAAATAATAACGGTGATTTTTTTTTTGAGATAGGGCTATGGACAATCACCTCCTCTGGAATGGGATTTGTGTCTACCCAGCTCGTGCAAAGGCCCGGAGATAAACAAAGCTCTGGCCGACCGTAAGTAACCCTCATAATGTCAATAACGATGTATCAGAGATGAGAAGTGATTAAAACTCTCTCGTAAAAGAAATCCTATGCTCATTAAGCCCAAGCACTAGTTCCTGTATAAAGACAGGCTTCAATGTAACCCCATAGTCGCCTACACCTGACGTAGAGTTATCTGTTCTTGAAAAATGCTACGCCAGTAAAGATGAAAAGGGGTGTTGAGGTTGGGAAGTGGTGGCGCACCTTCTAAAATCATGGGATGAAATGATTTTCATTTTGTCATGTCAGAAAGGAAAACTAATTTTGATTCAATACAAACTCTATACCGCTTTGATTTTGTTCTGAGAGGCATAACTCGACTTAATGTGAGTTTAAAGATGTAAACTTATCGAATGGAGATGAAGTTAAAAAACAAAATCAAACATTAACATTTTTACAACCTTTTGTTCTTTAAACTTTGTTGATGTTGTTGACTTTACCTATGAATACCCTCTAGATAAGAAACAGGGCGCTGTACAGTGGCGACTAGCAATCGCATGTTTGTGAAATTCTTCTGTATTAGTTTAATATTGTTCATTTATGTATGTATTCATGTATGTATTTATGCATCAAATTATGTATATACGTATTTATAATTAATTATGTACTGTATATATGTATGTATGTTTGCCATTGTAACTCAAATTTCCCCAAAGGAAATTAATAAAACGTGATTTTTGTTTAAATGTGTCTCACACGGAAAGACGTATCAATGCAGCGTAAATACTGACAGGTACAGGGCAAGAATGGCGGCAATGTCAAGTAAGATGGGTCAAATGACTACGTGATTAATATTTGTGTAGGTTTTAAACGCCAATTTAACACCGAAAAGCTGTTTTAACCGACAGACCTCTGAATTATTAAGGTCTATCGTGGATAGTATTGAGTCAAACGAGTGGGGAGCCTTACTAACTCCTCAAAGCAGCTAAAATTTTAAACTCCTCGTTTGGGATTCAATCCAGGTCCGTACGCTCCGTAGTCCAGCATGATATCAGCTGAGCTTCCAGCTCGTCTAATACAGAATGCAACCTCGTACATAACAAGTTCCTGAAAACAGATGCGTAGTTTGAGGTAATTGTACATGTAATTGCCCCCATATTATTTTGAGACCACAAAGTTCTCAGCTAAATAGTTCAGTGTGCTTTCTTGAGGTCCCGCAATATTATTAATAATAACTTATGTAATCGTTGACGGAGGGTCAGAAACCCTTAGACAGTCTACTGACACATACACTACAATATTGTGATCAACTGTGACACAAGAAAAGACTTACATAATCAGTTTATGTGTACCGTTTCAAAACGCCTGTATGAATTCTCGCACTATGTTTATGCTCGTTTCCTTTCATTGACAGTTGACATAACCAGCATTCATATGCAGTGCACTGCAGACCTGGACATCTCCCAAGACCCTGGCGCTGTCATTGCCATGTAAGACTTTTAACAAATCTTATATATTGCATATCAAGAGACGAAACATTGGAAATATAAGGGAAGCAAAATAAACGTACGTAGCATAAAGGTTAATTATGTTTTCCCTGTGCACTAGTAGTAGTAGTGCAAATGTCATCAAGTGATGAAAGCACGCGCAGAGCTAGTAATAGTCGAAAGACAAACAAAAGGAACAAAAAACTCTCCTTGAAATTACCTGCATAAAAAAAAGATTTCAAGAATTGTTTCAACTGATTCTGAGTTCTCTGTCTTTTTCATTACATCCGATCAAACATACACAGCAAAACTGTTGTTAGTTTCTTTCCCTTTCACCTACATGGTATTTATTCCATATCAATTATTGAAATTATTTTGGTTTCCAACTTATTTTACTTACATATTTGCTCTAAGGACTGCTATTGACCTTAATCGAGTGTTTGATTGGAGTCCGGGACTGTTCTTCATATTCGATAGCATCTTTTTGGTTTTATTGTTGACCTTCTGTGACGCCCGATAAGTGTGGCAGTGGTGTCGATAGTGGTTAGGCTGCTGGGCTCTCACCGTAGGGGCTTCGATTTGAATCCTGTTCTGGGCTTAAGGGTGTGTCCAATGGCAAGACATTGGATACAAACTGTGATATTCATCCTATTTCCCAAGTGGAAATAAGTGTTTCTTGCTAAGGCAGTTAAAGATTTTGGCGTGTATATGTTGATTAACCTAAGCAGGTTTTGGAATGTTACAGATTTTGTTGAGTAATAATGAGGATAGAGTATAACTGTCAGAGAGCCTACCTTTGAATATGGATATTATGCTTTGTTTCATTGAATTATATATTGTTATTCTTATCCCAAATTGGGCCTATTCACTGTAACCTACTACCAAACAACATTTCCAGTTCTTTCAGAAAGACCGAAGATAATGAGATATTTCTTAACCGGGACTCGAAGTCAGGTCTTTCAGAGAAAGCATAAGAGCCTCACACCCACCCCCACCCCACTCTCCGGGAGCCGACGTTAATAAAATATGGCACCATCTGAGGAACTGTGAATTTTAAATGACAATATTATCAACGTAAAAGTCAAAATGCAAACGTTGTACATGTAGGTATTTAAAAATAGCAAAATTGCCAGTTCTATCGACTCCCCTTTTAATTATTTTTTTTTCAGAATCATCCTCTGTATATTCGGCATCTTAGCTATAGCAGGAACTTTACTGGATTTGTACATAAAGTTTAGAAAACAAGACACAGAACTCTACGTCATCGACGCATTTGCAACTAAATATGGTAACATAAATTATGGACTGGAAATGACAGAGACGGAATTAAATGGCAATCTGGAGAACAATACGTCGCCTCAAACTACGGACCATAACTCGAAAGTTACAGCCAACCCAATGAGTAACCCGACTGTGATAATGCCTATGCCTTTAGGCTATCTTAGGAATGGGGAAATACCATGGACAACAAGGACTGCATTCCCAGATTTTAGGCATCGATATTTCAACGGCAAGAATCCTGAAGCAACTCAACAGAAGGGTGAAAATAGTGGTGCGGGGCCCAAGAAAGATGATGAAGCAGGTAGGAGGTAGTAAGAACGTTAGTGAAACCGTAAAAGAATTATTATCTCTCTGAAAAAAGTATATAACCGGCTTCTGAAGCGTAGCGGTTAGGTGCAGAAGACCTTAGTTCGATTCCCGTATGGCGAGAATTTTTACATTATCGGTCATTCTGCTGGGACTTCGTATCCCTCTCAGTCCGGGTTGGCCCTGACGGGCAGCGTTGAATCCCGCCTCCTAAATTATAGATGTGCTGTTGTGTGTCTAATTGTACCTACAGAGTCGTAAAACACCAGCCCTAAACATACCCAATTATCTATTTACCTTCCTTTGCCTTCACGTATCCCGTTGTCACACTGACTGTTGGGGCACCACTGCAAATTTTACTTCCAGCTTCCTCAACTCCTCTCGGTTTTGAGGTTTCCGTAACAAGATATTTCAGTCACAGCGAGCCTACTCTTTGTGTTCTTTCCAATAATTTGCTCCGTATAAAGTTGAACCAGTTTTTAATTGTTATTGTTGTACAAATCAATTTGCTTTATCAAGAGGCGGGCTGCTTCGATCCTGCCTCGGGGGATCAATCTGCGTTCGGTGGACTACAACATCCCAACAGATAAATGAAGTACTCTACCAAATAGCTTTCCCGTTTGTAAAGTGAACCCATGTCTTCTAGAAGTGTTGAAGAAGAGCTAGGGCAGTACGCCTTTGATGCGGGCATTTTATGCTATGCTAAAAGACCTCTACCATAGGTTAGTATGTCACAGCAGCCATCGAAAATCATTTGTTTGTTTAGTTTTCATCAATTCGCCATCCTTCAAAATTTACGCATTGCCATAATGTAGAAGAGCCCTTTTTGCTTTGTTTAAAGAGAAGAAAGGAACAAAAAGGAAGACAGAGAGAGAGGGAGTACACTACAAAGTAAACACAATAATGTACATAATATATCAAAACGTCATGAATATTATATTCAGAATACACATCATCATGCTGGTAGCAACCTCTGTTGATATGCAGGAAGTATAAATCTATTAGTCTGTTAAATTCTTACCAACACTGCTAGGCCCCCCTTTCAAATAACAGAATGAAAGACCATACGTGTGTGTCTGAATTCTTTTAACTCTTTTTGTACCTTCATTTGTTGCTTGAAATCTAATTCAATAAATAAATGTACACAGTCTTGCTAGGTGTTGAAAGAGTTGCTTTTTAAAGCTGTTTAATTGGAGTTATCTATAAGGTTTCGAAGATCACAAAAGTTATTTTGCAGGGGGATAAAAAAAATACGGGGGTTCTACTGTTATGATTGGCCTATTCTTAAACGAGCATAGGCTACATAATTTATTTAGTTGTATGTTTTGTTTTTAAAAAAAACACAAAAAACACTATCGCACTCGCGTACTGGCCACAAATGAAAAAAAAAACCCTCAAAAAGAAATCAAATGTACCTCATGTTACGCTCTTTTTCCCATGTCTCCTTTAGTCCCGTTCCTCAGAAGGATTACAAACAGGCTGCAACATGACAGAAAAAGAAAACCATTGTACTTCATATTATGCTCTTTTCCCCTGATTCCTTCACCCTCTTTCCTCACAATGATTGTTGATTAACTGACAACAAAAAGGGGAAAAACAAGCAAACAACATTGCACTTAATATGTTTCCCCCCGAATCCTTATCCCAGTTTCTGAGAAGGATTGCAAACAGACAATAAAATGAAATAAAAAACCCCATTGCACTTCATAATAATATGCTTTTTCTCCCGGATTACTTCTCTCTCATTTCTCAGAAGGACTGCCAATGTGGCAGAAAGCTCTGCTGGCGTTCTCTGTCCCGAGAAATACTGGCAGGATCCTGAGCACTCGAGCTGGGCGCGGGAACATCGGCTGTCTACATGGCATCCGGGTCCTGAGTCTGGCATGGGTAATCCTGGGACACGTCGCTACTTCAGGCTTCTCTGGAACTTACAGTAATAATACATTACTAGGGTTTTGTTTAGCTTTATGTTAGTTTGGTTGTGTGTTTTTTTTTCGTTTCTTCTTTTTTATCTTCTTCTTCTTCTTCTTCTTCTTCTTCTTCTTCTTCTTCTTCTTCTTCTTCTTCTTCTTCTTCTTCTTCTTCTTCTTCTTCTTCTTCTTCTTCTTCTTCTTCTTCTTCTTCTTCTTCTTCTTCTTCTTCTTCTTCTTCTTCTTCTTCTTCTTCTTCTTCTTCTTCTTCTTCTTCTTCTTCTTCTTCTTCTTCTTCTTCTTCTTCTTCTTCTT